TCAAGAAGAAGACTGACGCTGATGGTAATATTACTGTCTTCAAGACAAACAGAGTGTCACTAGTATGCCTCTACTTGACTAGCTCGTTAATCAAAGATGGTTATGTTTCCTAACCATGAACAAAGAGTTGTTATTTGATTAACGGGATCACATCATTAGTTGAATGATCTGATTGACATGACCCATTCCTTTAGCTTAGCACCCGATCGTTTAGTATGTTGCTATTGCTTTCTTCATGACTTATACATGTTCCTATGACTATGAGATTATGCAACTCCCGTTTACCGGAGGAACACTTTGGGTGCTACCAAACGTCACAACGTAACTGGGTGATTATAAAGGAGCATTACAGGTGTCTCCAAAGGTACATGTTGGGTTGGCGTATTTCGAGATTAGGATTTGTCACTCCGATTGTCGGAGAGGTATCTCTGGGCCCTCTCGGTAATGCACATCACATAAGCCTTGCAAGCATTACAACTAATATGTTAGTTGTGAGATGATGTATTACGGAATGAGTAAAGAGACTTGCCGGTAACGAGATTGAACTAGGTATTGGATACCGACGATCGAATCTCGGGCAAGTAACAATCTGATGACAAAGGGAACAACATATGTTGTTATGCGGTCTGACCGATAAAGATCTTCATAGAATATGTAGGAGCCAATATGGGCATCCAGGTCCCGCTATTGGTTATTGACCGGAGACGTGTCTCGGTCATGTCTACATTGTTCTCGAACCGTAGGGTCCGCACGCTTAAAGTAACGATGACAGTTGTTATGAGTTTCATGCATGTAGAAGTACCGAAGTTAGTTCGGAGTACGGGATGTGATCACGGACATGACGAGGAGTCTCGAAATGGTCGATACATAAAGATTGATATATTGGATGACTATATTCGGACACCGGAAGTGTTCCGGATGAATTTCGGATAAAACCGGAGCACCGGGGGGTTACCGGACCCCCCCCCCCGAGGGGGGGGGGGTTAATGGGCCTTATGGGCCCAATATGGAGAAGAGGAAGGGGCTGCCAGGGCAGGCCGCGCGCCCCCTCTCCCCCTAGTCCGAATTGGACAAGGAGGGAGGGGCGGTGCCCCCCCCCCTTTCCTTCTCTCCCCCCTCTCTCCTACTTGGACAAGGAAAAGGGGGAGGAGTCCTACTCCCGGTAGGAGTAGGACTCCTCGTGCGCCCACCTCCTGGCTGGCCGCACCCCTCCCCTTGGCTCCTTTATATACGGAGGCAAGGGGGCACCCTAGAACACACAATTCATCCTCGTGATCGTTCCTTAGCCGTGTGCGGTGCCCCCTGGCACCATATTCCACCTCGGTCATATCGTTGTAGTGCTTAGGCGAAGCCCTGCGTCGGTAGAACATCATCATCGTCAGCCGTTGTGCTGACGGAACTCATCCCCGAAGCTTTGCTGGATCGGAGCCCGGGGAGCGTCATCGAGCTGTACGTGTGCTAAGAACTCGGAGGTTTCGGAGTAACGGTGCTTGGATCGGTCGGATCGGGAAGAAGACGTACGACTACTTCCTCTATGTTGTGTCAACGCTTCCGTTGCGATCTATAAGGGTACGTAGATCATACTCTCCCCTGTCGTTGCTATGCATCACCATGATCTTGCGTGTGCGTAGGAATTTTTTTGAAATTACTGCGTTCCCCAACAAGTTGTCCTACTGTCTGCTCTAGATAAGCTTGATTACAGTTCATATTTAGGTAGAAAATGGCTAGAACTTGTGTATTTCTAGATTTTGTCTATTCGACCCACCTGAGGCGAAAATTACGCCGGTTGCCCCGTTTCAAACAGTTTTTCAGGCCAGTGCCTCGCCTATCTCTCTTTTTTGAGCTACTTCTCATGTCTGCTACCGCTAGCTGACTAGGGCTTTTTTTTCTTGTGTCTGCTCCAGCACGTGTATACCACCACCAGCTCGTGCGCTTCCGGCCCGTGGGTGTTCCTCCAAAAACTAAAATCACCCAATCCATCATGGATGATGTCCAACATTTCCCCGCCATCAGTTAGCTTCGCGATCGGTTGCGTCATACTGGCGAACAGAGAGCGGGCACCCAATTGATTCATGTCCGGCGTTCTCAACTAGACAAGCTGCGAGGATGGCCAGTCAGCGAAATGGAGGGACGCGAAATGGCACGGACATGTCGGAAAGTGGTCGAGCACCGGTGTTGATAGCCGAGCTACGATGCGGTGTACTAGTACAATGGCTGCATCTCCGCCATCCAGAGCAGCGAGTCCATCGGCGATGGCATCCCCCGCCTAGCCCCTCGCCTCCGTCCCTGCTCGCCACCTTTCTTCGGAGATGTCGGGTAGCCGGCTGCCACAATTGCTTTCTCCGTGCTCCTTTGGACTCATTTTTGTGCTCGTTGCGGACCTTGGAGGAGGGGTTGTCGGTTGGAGGAAGGGGACGACTGGGAGTTTGAGACGTGAGAGATCGAGGTGGATGGAGACGTGTGGATCGAATGTGGGGGAGGGGGGAGGGTCTAATATAGCAGTGCATGACCAGGAGAGATAGCCCAATCTCCAGAACCTTCGGTACTGCACGGGGTCGCGGCAATCGCGCACCACATGGTCGCGAGCCAGGCAACGATAGCAGCGCGCCATTAGGTTCAGGTTTTTGGGAGGTATCGAGAAGCGGGTAGGGGGATGAGGTGGTTGTGCATGCTATATGAGGAAGAGATCAAGGCATGGCATAAGATTTCCATGCAACTGTCCTCCCATCGATATCCTGGCTGTGCGGCAGCCGATTTGGAAGCGAAGCAGATCCCTCGGGGCCTCCGTTTGTCACATCCCGTGAACAAGAGCTGGGCAGGGACGGATTGACTGGACATGGACGGGTCGAGGGCGGAGTGAGTTGACCACGGGGGCCGCGGGCCTTAGCAAAATCCCAAGGGCGCGTGCATCTAGCAAGGGTCACCTCTGCATAGGATGAGGCACGGGATTGACCTGGATCACGAGGGTAGGCGCGTGTGAAGGATGAAGAAGGGTTGCATGCATGCCCAAGAGCGGGCGCCATTCACCAGTAGCTCGCAACAATTGCAGAGGGCCAATCGATAAGAGGAGCAGGCCAGCAGGGAAAATCTAAAAGAAGAGGCCGCCGTTTTGGCCATAGTGGCATGGGCTGCGCAAATCCTACATGGTGGAGCAGACAGTAAATGGCGAGGGTCCAAGTGTCGATCACTAGGGCCACTAGGGGGAACGCAAACATAGTTTTTTTTTTCTCGAAACCTGACCAGAGTCGCGCGTTAATGAGGCAAAAGGGGAGGCAGCTAGCAAGAAGGTGGAAGGAGGCTTCAGATAGGCCGCAGAGCTGCATGGCCCATCCGCGGGCACTGAACGGGCACCCCTCAAATGTAATCCACATCCGGACACCTCAATTATCGTATCTCAATTCCATACAAAGTCATGCAACTACGTCGATGATGCACACACAATGCCTGGTCACTCCATCACTACTAACTAAACATGCAATTGGACTACCAAAATTTGGCATGTTTGGCTATGGTGGAGTTCATCCACGGCTGCCCTTCTCCTTCCCGGTGCCCTTGCCATCCGTCTCGCGGAAGTACCGGTCGAAGACGCGGTATGGATCGAGTCAGATCTACTTGTCGTCGGAGCTGTCCTCGCCGTCACTGTCCGCCATCTCCTCCTTCGGTGGTAGTTCGACCACGGCACAAACCGCCCGATTCTGCTCTGCCGTTTCTTCAAAATATGGGCGCGGATGGCTTCCTCCTCTGCGGCCGCCCGCGCTCCCGCATCAGCCGCCGCCATTTCCTCCGTGATACAGGCCTCAGTGGACCTTATCCTTTCCTTCCCATGGCGGGGCGACCGTTCCTGTAGGACTCATAGTCTGCCCTACCGATGATGGGAAGGAGAGAGGTTCTGGCTGCCGGGGCCGCGATGATCCAGCCCCAGATGACCCGAGCGTCGGTTGAGCCGATGCTATGGAGTCGCGGCGGGCAGATCCGTCGGTCGACCGAGCCTGTCCTCCTAAGAGCATCTCCGTGCAATGCGAACCACCATTGCCTTCTCCAACCCGCACGGGATGACACCGCAGTCAGATCCGCTGCCTGCCATACGGCCGGAAACCGCCGAAAACGAGCTCGGGTGGTGGATGGGAGTGAAGGGGAGTGAAGTGAAGTGGCCAGGGGAATGGTCCGGCAAGCGGACGGGGAGGAATATATGTGGGTTCGGGTGGGCCAGCATGAGTTGGGTCCGACGTGACGGGCATGTCGGGACGCCTCCATATCCGCCCTATATTTGGGCTGGATATGAGGGGTGCCGGTCAGCCCAGACGTTTGAGACCCGTTTAAGGCGTTTTTCTGGATCAAAAATTCGTAACCGGTCAGTAACCGGGCGAACCGCCTGAACATTTGAGCAGGGTTTAAGACACCCGGCTGTAGATACTCTAAGCGCAGCAGCAGCAGAGCCCAACGAATGGCGCAGAGCAGGGCGAAGAAATAGTTGGGTGGAGGAGTAACGTTGGATGGGGGACCTAGTAGCTTATTAGGTCGTCCAACGGAGAGGCTGTAATCTTCTCCTGGACCTAACCTTTCTCGACCGTGGATCTGCCGCCGTGCACAGACACCCTATAATAAACAAACGTTGGCGGACTATTTTTTCGTGACCACTTGGATGGGTGGATTTTTCCAATAGCGGGATCGTTGGTAAGCTGTCGGTTAGTGTCTTCATCAATCATCATCCTCAATTATACCAGTAGCAGGCTGCCATTCCACACGTTGCGCACACGAGGAGTGTGGATGTACATCGGCATGAATTGAAAACCGATCGAAAGCTCAGCATAATAACGCATTTCGTTAAGCAAACCCCACATTCGGACCCTTGGTGTCCATCCATCGTCTCCCGCTCAAACCCATTCAGCGCGCTCATAAATCTCCAATGATTGCCTTTCCCGTATAAAAGCCAACAGCACACGGATCCATATGCCCATCGGTAATCAGGCACGTACTCCTCCTACTCGCTAACGGAGGCCATGGCCAGCGCGGCGAACAAGGCTCCGGCGAGCGGTGGCGCCCGGCGCGTGCTGTTGTTTCCGCTGCCGTTCCAGGGCCACATCAACCCGATGCTGCAGCTCGCCGCCGTGCTGCACGCCCGGGGCCTCCGTGTCACCGTCTTCCACTCCGCGTTCAACGCCCCGGACCCCGCGCGCCGCCCCGCGGGCTACCGCTTCGTCACCGTCGGCGCCTCAGTGCCGATCGCAGACCTCGTCCCCACCGGCAGCCACGGCACTTCGCCGAGGCGCTCCTTCGCATCAACGAGCGTCTCGAGGCGCCTTTCGAGGACAGCCTCCGCCAGTTGCTCCTCGAGGAGGAGGGAGCGCCGGCATGCCTGGTGGTAGACTCCAACCTCCGGGGGATGCAGGTGGTCGCGCACCGTCTCGGCGTGCCCACGCTGGTGCTGCGCACGGGTGCCGCCGCCTGCCTCTTGGCTTACATGGCCTTCCCGGCGCTCTGCGATAAGGGCGTCCTCCCGCCACAAGGTACCTATAGTCCTACATCAACCTAACAGACGAGAAAATAATTCTACCATGCACGGGACATTCCTCTTCGAGATTCCGGTGCATGCATGCTTAGTGTTGATCATATTCCTTTGTGACTTGTCAGCCGGTGAATCATCTTTATCCCATGCATGCATATTTTTGCCAAGGATTGCATGCGCCACCAACCACACTATTCTATTCACCCTCCCGTGCTTTTTTATTCGATCTTTTAAACTGAAAGTCTAATTTAAGCTTCCTTTTATGTTTCTTATGACAAGGACTTTGAAACAAGATCGCTCATAAATATATTTTGACAAATTTTGAATTTTGAATTCTGAAACATGGTGAAAGAAAACGATGCACTCTAGAACTTGAAAGAAACTAATAAAACTTGAGAAGAACCAATGATAATTACCAATTCGTAATATTAGGTTTCAGCTGCCAAGTTTACCAAGTACTCCCTCCATCCCATGATATAAGACACTATTACATCCGATATGTGAACCTATAAGAGCATGTTGGATGCAATAATGTTTTATATTAGGGGACGGAGGGAGTACCATATGTATACATCAGCTTGATGCCCATTGGCACTCAATCTAACATTATGATATACTAATGTACACAATGAACTACAATAAGACTAGTGATTGAGACCGTATGAAACTAGCGATGGAAAACAAGGTTACATGCATATTTTGGCAACAAATGGAAGCAAGAGGATATTCAATTTCCCTTACAAATTGCA